GGGGCTACTCTCAGCAAGCTCAGCAAGCTGTCCTGCGGTCTTTGCCAAGTTGTTTGTGGTCTCTGCTAAGCTGTTTTAATTTTTACCCTTACAACTCCTATCTCAATTTTTTTCTGTTTCAAAGATTTTATTTTTAAAATGTTCAGTAAATAGGTAAGAATTCTTTCTTTAATAGATCCATAATGAAAATATTCACATTTTTAAAGTATTCTTTTGGGACTACATTTTAAAAAATTAAGCCACAAAGTTTTGTCACACATTAAATGTGTACACAATTTTTTTATACATAAAACATTTAACAGAGATGAAGTAAGTGAAGATTTTTCTTTAAGTGTTGAAAGGGAAAGGCTACAGTAGAAAACATGTACATTCTAAAGTAGAAAAGAAGAATCTAAGTTGAGTATGATAGGTATATGCTTTGAGCTCTGTACTCAGGGCAGAAACAGTTCTGTGAGTTCAAGTCTAGCCTGGTCTATATAGCAAGTTCCAGGATGTCTAGGGTTACATAGTGAAACCTTGTTTCAATAAACAAACAAATAAACAAAAGCTAATGAATGGTGTCTAGAAAAGAAAAAAATATTGAGTTAATCCAGCCACAGACAGGAAGATGCACAGCTTCTTGGAGATCTTTTCCTGAAACCTGTGACTCCACCCCTTCCCGTGACCACCCCTGTGTATAACCCCGCCCCTTCTCCCACCATACTTGGTTCCACACAGGTCTCCTGGAAATCCAGACAGCAGTTCCCAAGGCTGACACAGGCAGCATCACAGCGACAGTTGCTGAATGTCCTTTCAAAGCAGCGGCCTTTGCAACTTTTTACTGAAAATTATGAATAAGTCAGGTACTTCAATCACAAAATTACAAAATAGCATGCACCAGCTAAGGCACACCTGAGTCAAGGCGCCACCACCGTGGAGTGTAACTCACATTTGTCGCTTGGAAACCAGGCAATTTTACAAAGAGAAACTAAAGTGAGGAAACTAACTTTCCTAGAACTATTTGAGGAAGGGGGCGGGGCATGGTATCACAGTAACTGCTGTCATTTCATATGCATCTGGCAACTGTTAACACAGCGCACGCTACCCTGAACTCAGATTAAAATAGCTATCTTTTAGTTTCTTTGATATGAGGTGAATTAGTTCATTTTATGAAGAATTGCTTAGATAACACAAAAGCCCACCTTTTTGTTTGTATTAAGCTTGAGTGAATTTGTTCTAAGGTGTCCTAACCAGACAGGTAAAATTGGAATATTTCAAATAATCACTAAACATTTAGATGGGTAATATTATAATAGCAGGATAGTTGAACAGGACAAAAATATATTCAGTTTTGAAAACTGAATGACCAATATACTACCATATGGGGTACAGGGGGAGACACTACCAAATCAAAAGAATGACTACTGAAATTGCCTGTGTTTGGCTTTCATTATCTATAATGTGGTTTTTCAGTGTTGTGTAGAACCTGTACTTGATACGAGAAAAACACTATTAGAAATGTGATGATTTCATTACTACTTTGAAACTAGCATGGGAGAAATATCTAAAAACCCTCTTGAGATTCTGGTCCTTTAGAGATGCTAACTGGTCTCCTAGTAACCTCCAGAGCTGCTTTAGCAACCAACTCCTTGAGGCTTGGAGGAACCTCTGGTCATGTCTTCACGAGTTTTTTTGGGTTTTGTGGAAGGGATTTTTTTTTTTGGTCACAGATACTATTCCACATTTTAATATAAAAATTTGTAAGCAAAAAAAAAAAACCCAAAAAACTTTGTATGGCCAAAATAAGATAGGGCTTCAGGAAGAATGCCTAAACCAGCATCAAACTTAAGAAACAGTCAACATCTGTGGAGTATGCACAAGACTTGGAGGTTACAGTTATTTCAATCATGCCATAATGCTGAATATACACACAAATGCACATACACATACAATTATAAGTGTACACATATGCACATATAGAGAAACACACACAGACATATACACACAGAGAAGCACATAGGCACACATACCCACATTAATGCATTAATTACCTTCTTTGGAGCAGCTTGGTTTCAACCCAAATATACAACCAAGAATAGTTGTTAGCACGCATACTGACAAAACCTGCAAGGAGAGAAAAGGACCGTTAGTCTTCTGAAATCCTCCTACTCCCTCAATCCTCCAACTTCATCCCTTTCAGTGCTTCTGACTTTGCTAGTGAAGATGTTTCCAGATGTTGCAGCTGATCACAGAAACAGGTTCACTTTTTGAACATTTCAAACCACATACCTGTGCTTTAAGTCATGTTCTTAGAGTGTGATAAATGTCAGTCAGCAGCTTTCTAAATCATCCAAAGTTAATGCAATAAGGGAAACACTTGGCTTACACAAAGGAATTAGCTGGAAGAAAGTTGTAATCCTTAAAAGAAAAAATCTATTAAGAGACTCCACTTCCTATTGCCGTCTAGGAACACTCCAGGCCTCTTTTAACTATGAACTCCCAAACCTAAACCTAACACAGCACCCTCAGATGCACCATGCATGGTCACGGGGACGACCACTGGGCTGCAACATTGCCATGACCTGGCAGTGTGAGCTGGGGGGTAGAGGATAAGTTCTACACATCTGTTTATTCATCTATAAAAGAAGAATTCAACTGTACCAACCTCTCAGGTTCCTTCCAGGGTTTTTGTTTTCTCACCTTCTCCCTCCCCATGATTCCTGCCTTTAAAATGAAGTAAACTGAGCTGAAACCCCTAAGGTCAATAACAAATTTGGAAGGTCAGAAGACAAAGGAGGAAAATAATCCACAAAACAATCCCCCGCCCACCTTTTCAAGTTGGCATTTCCTTCAAAGCATTCTGAAATGTCAGCTCACAGGGCACGTAGGCATTCACAGAGAAAGGACTATGCACAAAAGTGCTATGTGACCAAGGGAAGAGTAAGAGCTACCTCCAGGACAGACTGGTATACAGATGATAGATAGATAGATAGATAGATAGATAGATAGATGGATGGATGGATGGATGGATGGATGGATGGATGGATAGATAGAGATGATACAGATATAGAGTCCAGTACTACTCCAATTTCATGTATCCACTGATGTATTATACATACTTATATATACTTGTATGTCTTATATTTGTATATATATATATATAGTCTTGCACAGACTTGGTATAACTATTAGCGTATCCATAAAAGTGGGGAATTATCAGAGGAAGACGTAAATAGTAACTACATAAGGACAAAAGAACAGAATAAAGTATCAGAAAAGGGTACTGACAGAATTCTCTGGAACTGTTTATATGACGACATAAATGTGTGATGCTACAGAAAGGCGATTAGTGTACATCTATTCTAAACACCAAAATTTCTTTTGCTGTAAACTATCCATATAGTGGATAAGCTAGTAAAACTACTAATCTATATTTCACACACTGTAACCACAAACACTAAAGCAGTAGAGAACTAAAGCTTGTCTTGTAGAATCCATCTAAAGCAGTTTTGACGTACGTGCCTGCTCCCCTCCCATCCTTTAGGTAACTTACAGTACGAAATAAAGATTGTTTCTGTGCTGTCGTTTTCCTTGCTAAGTTCACACTGCTATCCCACTGTGACCCCTCACTAATGACTTTACTGTCACTTCTCCTGGGGCTCCCCATTTTTACGGGTACAGCCACTCTCCTCATATACACCCATGGAACAGCCTTCACACCATTCCTCCGCCTTCCTGTCTTCATCCACCAAACTGTGGTAATGTCAACAATCCCACACAAGCCACGCCCTCCAAAACTGCATCTTTATTTTGTTTGAATTCAATTCCAGCACTGTCATTTTTCTGCTCATTTCTGCACTTGCTTTATAAATCAACTGCCTTTTCAATTACCCACTGTTATAGAATGTCACATAGGCATAACCCTGGCCGCCAAGGTAGCAACACAAACACTCGTTGCTGCCTATGAATGGACTGACTGACAGGTGCCTGTCGACCAATCGCTGATAGACTCTGAAATACTTGACAGGACTGGTTACTGACGATCTGCATCTGTAGTTCTCTGCCCACTACTGGGCTAGCAACAAAGTTAGTATGCAATTATTCAATGTTAATATACCTAAATTTCAAACAATATTGTTGGCAAGCCAGTGTTATCTAATTAAATCATGGCAAGTGAAATTGCAGGTATCAGAGAACCAGGAAAGCAGTACTGCCTATACAGTTACAGGCAGGCAAAGATTATCTGAGCGCAGTTACTTCAAAACTGTTTGTACTTGAAACAAAAAAGAACAGAATGGAAAAACTGGTTCAAAAAGTCACATTCTCTTCTCTACTGTGGAAGTATCTCCAGGAGCTGGTCTCAGAGAAGACTGATAAAACTTAAAAAAAAAAAAAAAAAAAAAAAAAAGTAAAGACCCACACATATGCCAAGAGCCTGGGTGGTAGGACTCAGAAGCAGCTCAAAGTTGGTCAAGCAGGGAGCACTGCTGGGAGTGAGAGAGTCATGGCGGAGCTCTGGTGTGACGAACCGGATGCAGACTGCACCGTGGGGAAGAGTGGCAGTAACATCAGAGATGGTGACAACCAACTGATCGGGAACCCGCAGGTTCAGGCAGCCCAGCTTGACCTATCTGGATCACAATGGACCTAAAGTCTAGGAATGGGGTGGGAGATTGGCTGAAAACTTGGCTCAGCCTGGGAACTCGGAAGAAAGAATCAACAAAGCAGAAACGCAGCAGCCTCGGGAGTCAAAGCGTGGGTGGAATAGCTAACTAGGATCAAGCTGACTTGAGCACTTGTGTGGGAGAAATGGAAGGAAAAGAACAGAGTGCAAAGAGTTGATTGTAAACAGCCATTTAAACTGTTCCCATTGGTTTAACCATGTTACAGGTAACCGTGTATACGTGACACCCTGCCCACTTATTAACTACCAGGAAGTACACACTTCTCTTTTCATAATTAGCACTTCATTGTCAAAAATTAAGTTCCTTGTAATTACATTTTATAATATAATGTGTAACAGAATTAAAACATGTATGCCTAACAACAAAATATTTTTCATGTATCCTTATATTTACAAAAAAAAAAAAAAAGCAAAATTTGCAGTGCCTGTCATTCTATTATAGCATACCTAGTTGAGATTTTAGTGGAAAATTTCCCTGGAGCATTTTCAGAACTGTGAACTCTGACTCAGTTTTTCTTCTTAATGTAGATTAATCTGAGGTCAAAGTCTGCCCGGCATTTATGTTAATATTCTTTATTATGTATATGAATGTATCACCTGCGTTTTTGTATATGCACACTGATGCCCACAGGGACCAGAAGATGACAGCAGATCCCTGAAGTTCGAAATGGCTGTGAGGATCATGAACATTCTGGGAACTGTACCAGGGCCCACCTCTCTAACCCTCAGCAAACTCTGTTCACCTCTGAAACAATTCAGACACTTTTGTATATCGGTATTTTCTATTTATAATTTGAATAATTCAATTTATATTTTGATAGTTTCTTGAAAATTATCAAAAAAATCCTGGAAATATGAGACACACGAAGTAAAAAAACAAAGCCATTGAAATGTTTTGCCTCTATGTTAAAGGATATTCATTTTTTAGCTTCCTGCTTGTTTAATAAGAGTCCTTAACTAAATCATTAGGTTTTTCTTTGCCATTAAGTGAGATAAAAAAAAACACATTTTCACAAACCTCATTCTTCTCACAGATTCCTTCAAATACAGTAGCATTAATTTTATATTACATGTACCTATAATTTGTGTGTGTGTGTGTTTGTGTGTGTGTACATGCTCCCGCATGGGGGTCAGTTCTCAACTTCCACAAGTGGGTCCTGAGGATTGAACCCAGCTCTTTAAGCTAAGTAGCAAGTGTCTGTTCCCACTGGGCCATCTTCTCAGCTCCTATTAGCATTATTTTAATTTTCATTATTATTTTTTAACAAGTATTCACCGAGATGTGAATGCCTACTTGTGTGTACTTCCTGCACTGATGGCCAGGACAGCAATGGAAGCAACTCTGAGCCTATGAAGAGATAAAATGTGAGGCAGGGAACACTAAAATAAATTAACACAAAAGAATTTCACAAGAGCTACAGTAGAAAAATGCAAAAGATGCTAACATACTGGTAGCCTCATGGAGAGCCAAAAGGAGAGGTAACAAGGCCACAAAAAGATATTTGGAAGGAAAAAGTGATTTCCTTCTCTCTCAGTGAACAAGTGCTTACCTGTCTGCAGTGTGTGACAAAATGAGATCCAACGAGAAGCACAAACACAAAGCAAACAGAAGACACTGGTGAGATCCTTCATCTCAGAGCAACTGTCTAGCGAGAACAACTCCAGAAGGAGCCTTACATACTAGCAAGAAGCAACAGTTGATCAACAGAAACGCAGTACATGCTACAGGATCTTCAAAAGCCCCATATAGGTATAGAATCTGAGAAAATAACACCTGTCACTTCCACAGCACACCCTAGTATTTTCTAAACTTTTATATTAAGTCACTTAATCCTCCCAAGAGCATTCTCAGAGTGATTATGATGATTGCACTGGTTTAAGGAAAGTGAACTAGGGAAAAATGAATAATTTATCAAGGGTATTTGAGTTTAATGTAAAAATGGCAAGACAGAAACTCAGTAAGGAGTGAAACACAGGGGTTATGGAAGAGACCTGGACTGTGGGGAGACCTTGAAGCCTTTAGCAGTAGAAGTAACACAGATGGATTGTTCTAGAAACTTCTAGAAAAGTCTTTCAGCAGCATCCTGGAAGGCTGTGGTATGAGTCCACATGGTCTCATACCAAGATGAGATGAAGCTTGTCTGCTTCACTTTGGAAGGGCACTGCTCTTTGCCCTTCTGGACCAGAGTCTCCTCTTCCTTAGGTTACGAGAAGCCAGACCTCACACATGGGTTTGTTTATTTGCCTGTCTCTGACTGACTGTGAGCTCTAGGCAGCTATAGACATATTTATTTACTTCTGTGCTTCCCACATCTAACAAGGTGCCTTGCACACATTAAAGCCCCAAGTCAAAAACCAGCAAGTGGTGCCTGAATTAAAACATAATTTGGGGAAAGAAGCAAAAATTCCCCTTTTCCCACATTTGACTTGACCCACTTGG